GAGGAATAGTAATGGTAATAGTAATAGTACTTGTGATGCTAAAAGTAATGGTAATAGTAATAGTAACTTTAGTAGTAATACTGATAGTAACAATAGTAGTAGTTGTTGTTGTTGTAGCCTCAGCAGCAGAGGTAGTAGTAGGGTGGTCATTGTCAGAGTTTGTCATTAACCTCATGGTCAGTAATTGAAACGCAAGATTGGCAAGAAAGCAGAGCAAGGCACTGGAACCCTGCTTCAAGTGCTTCGCAACCGCCCGCGCAGATGCTGAAATTGCTCCGAAAAATTGCGAAACGAAGAGTTCGCAACCAAGGCAGTGATGCTAGGAAAAAGATCACCGACGGGCAGTGACAGCCAACGAAGGCAACTGCCTCTTCAGCGTTCGGAAAATGAGCTCCCGGTCGCAAAGCCTTGATTCCAACATGAAGTGGAAAAAAAGCGATTCAAACTACCCAGAGACTCCAATACCCCTTAATTAAGGAATATACCTTAAATCATATTAGGGATCCTACTGTAATTTAAGGTCCATTCCTGAATTAAGGGATATTGGAATTGGAGTCTCTGGGTAGTTGACATGAGTCGGCTACGATCGGCACAGTTTACAACCCTAAACTCTAAATCCTTCAATGGGTGGTGTGGCCGCTCCTCAGGCCTTGATACAGACGGGGAAGCCTACCACATACCTACCAGAAAGTTTGGGGTTTAGGGCTTAGGGCTTTATGCGGTGCAGTCACGTCATCCACCCCCTGGAATCACAAACCCTAAACCCCTAAACCCCTAAACCCTAAACCCTAAACCCCTAAACCCTAAACCCCTAAACCCTAAACCCTAAACCCCTAAGCCCCAAACCCCTAAACCCTGGAAAAAAGTTCAATGCAACCGCAAAGCGGACCTCCAAGATCCTCGAACCCCGGAAGCTACTGCAGCCTCTCCTTAAAGTCGCTACATCAGGGTTTAGGGTTTAGGGTTTAGGGTTCGGGTTTTGGGGTTTGGGGTTTAGGGTTTAGGGTTTAGGGTTTCTTGAATTCCAGGCATAGAAAACGAATAACCACGATACCAGCAATAACACGAACAACATTAGCAATACTAATCATACTAATCGTACTAACGATACCCATAATACCAATACCACCAATGATACGAATAATACTCATAGTTGGAATTAGTATGAAATAGAACAAGCAGCAGCTGGTTGCCGGTGGGTGGGTCGCAATGGTCCACGGTGCAGCAGGTGCAGCCGGCATCTCTCACGCTGAAGTTGGCCAGCTGCTCACCAAGCTGCTGGACGTCCTGCAGGAGGTTAGGGGGCTTCGGGCGTGCGGATAGTATGTGTATATCATACATATATACCACACATATATCACGCATATATCATGCGTCTATCTGCGGTGATATAGAAATGTAAGCTGTCACTTTGGGGTAGGTCTAGGTGTCGCGGGGGCCCCGAAGGTTGGGACGAAAAGGCCGCTGCCCTGCTAGAATCCCTACGAGGGTTCCCTTAAAGGAACCCTGTGGATCCAGGAGCCCTTGAAAGGAACCCTATAAACCCCTAGAAGGGTTCCCTTAAAGGAACCCCATAGATCCCCGGAGCCCTTAAGGGAACCCTATAAATCCCAAGAAGGGTTCCTTTAAGGGTCCCTTTTGGGGTTTTCCCTTTGGGGGCTCCTCTAAGGCTCTCTCCTTTCAGGAGCCGTCGAGACGACGGACCTCAAAGCTTCTTGGTTTAGGGTTTGGGGTTTAGGGTTTAGGGTTTAGGGTTTAGGGTTTAGGGTTTAGGGTTTAGGGTTTAGGGTTTAGGGCTTAGGGCTTGGGGCTTAGGCTTTATTAGGGTTTGAGGTGTACGTTTTAGGGTTTAGGGTTTAGGGCTTAGGGCTTAGGGTTTAGGGTTTAGGGTTGAGGGTTTACTCCAAAACCCCTTGATTCAGGAATAGACCGTGGGTCAGAATACGCATCTCTGTATAGTGTTAACTACATTGTTGGTACATTCCTTCGTCTGCGTTCGAGTCTCCGGCCCAGAGTGCGTGTTCTCAGCGTAAACCCTAAACCCTCAACCCTAAACCCGAAAACCCGAGAACCCGAAAGCCCGAAAACCTGAACCCCCCCCCCGGGAGTCCTCGAGGTGCTGCAGGCCGTAGTGAAGCAGAACAGGAAGGATGCCTTTCTTAGATTCTTCTCTGGGGGCTAAAGGGGCTTTAAGAGGGCTCCTAGCTCGGATCAGGGCTTAGGGTTTAGGGTTCGGGGCTTTTGAGGTGTAGGGTTTAGGGCTTAGGGCTTGTAGGGCTTAGGGTTTTTGGGTTTTGGGTGGCCAGGATTCCGAGCTGTTCGGGGTTCAGGGTGTTGGCGTCGAAACTTCGAGCTCCAAGCCCCTCCCAAACCCCCGGAAAATCAAACTTCCCGTAGACGTCCCCGGGTCTGGGGTGTGTTTAGGAGGCCTCGGACATCGTGCCCTTTGAAAGTATCCTATAGGAGATCTAAAGGTTAACCTTTGGGTTTATATAAGGACTAAAATACCCCAAAAAACGGTGAAGGGTTTAGGCTTTAATTGAACCCAAAGCGGTTAAAGGTTACCTGCTCTACAACTGGGGAATCCCTAAACCCTAAACCCTAAACCTTTAGGGTTTAGGGTTTCAGGGCGGAGCACCTGGGAGACGGGCAATGCTCGGGCTGAAGTGCTGAGAGGAATCTCTGTTAGGCTGTGGGACTCTGGCATTTAGGACCCGGGCTCTTGTGAAGGAACTTAGGTAAAGTTGCCAGAATACGGATTTATAGACTATAGTAGATAGCAGGGTTTCTTTAAGTTACCATAATAAGGATCTATAGAAAATACGAGGGGCTTCCAGAATTTTGATAACTCAAATTAAATGCCTGAAAACATCAACTCATGGACTCTCAGGTTTGTGGGTTTACGAGCTTAGGGTTTAGGGTTTAGGACTTAGGACTTAGGGTTTAGGACTTAGGGTTTAGGGTTTAGGACTTGGGGTTTAGGGCTTAGGGTTTAGGACTTAGGGTTCAGAGTTTAGGGTTTTGGGTTTAGGGCTCAGGACTCCTTCAGAGTTTGGGGTTGAGGAGAGCTGCAGGGCTTAAGGATTCAGGATCCCGGGGCTTCGTAGGACTTTTTGGTTCACCTCGTGTTTAGCAGTTCGGGGTGCCAGACTCTAGATTTTAGGCGTTAGGGTTTACGCCGTGTTTAGGGGCTGACGGCTGTCGAATTTTCGGAGTTTTTAGGGCCAGGGGCTTAGGACTTTAAGCGCTCAGGTTTTTCATGCTTGCTTGGTGTTATGGTTTTAGGGTTATGGGGTTTTGGGATTTGTGGCTAAGGCTCGCTCTTACGAATAGTTCCTTGGCTCCAAGACCAAACTTGCTCGCAATCTTCACGTGCTCTTGAACCGTGAGAAGAAGGTACAAATCAGGGTGCTAGCAAGGTGCCGAGGCCGGCGGGGAGCACCCAAACGAAGAAGAAAAGAAGGGCAGCGTCTGACGAGTGTTCCGCATCAGCGGCTTCCTCGATGTACCTGGGCTCTTTGCCATACCGAAGGAAGGCTGAAGTTCAGCCACCGGTTCCCGGTGAACCCCATCAACCCTAAAGCTGAAAACCTAAAGCCTACGAAACCCTGAACCCAAAACCCTAAACCCTAAACCCCAAAACCCTAAACCCCAAAACCCTAAACCCTGAACCCCAAAACCCCAAAACCCTGAACCCCAAAACCCCAAAACCCTAAACCCAAAACCCCAAAACCCTAAAACCAAAACCCTAAATCCTAAACCCCAAAATGGCGAGATCCGAGCTGGGCACAGTGAGACTTGGACAGCGAGGCAGAGAAGCGTCATGAAGGCCCACTGCAGCAAGAGTTGAAACGCCACTGAAACCTGACGGTTTCGGGTTTAGGACAAAAAGGTCTAGGGCTTAGGGCTTAAAGTGTAGGGTTTAGGGTTAAGGTGTAGGGTTTAGGGTTTAAGGTTTGGGTTTAGGGTTCAGGCATTCTGAGGGTCCGTCTCTACCAGGCTTCTGCCTTCTTGGGCCTTCTTGGGCTATATCAAAACACTAAACCCTAAACCCTAAACCCTAAACATATCAAAACACTAGGGATCCCAATTGGCAGGAACCCGAATCTGAGCACCAGGCACTTCGGGGTCTATGCACCAAGGAGACTCGGGGATTTATATGTATCAACTCAGGGTTTAGGGTTTAGGGTTTAGGGTTTAGGGTTTAGGGTTCAGGGTTTAGGGTTTAGGGGTTTAGGGGTTTAGGGTTTAGGGTTTACTCGCATAACCCCCAAACCGACGATGTTAAATGCCGCGGCCGGCTGGCAGCCACTTGGACCTGCATGTCTTCCCGTGTCAACCAACTATTCCTGAAACAGCTCCACGGCCCCATGGCAAGATGCATGGCAACTAATTCTGCTTTGCCCCCTGCGTGTGGCGTGCCTCGGGTTGCTCGAGGTTATAATAACGGCCCGAAGAATTAGACTAGGGTTCTGGGTGCTTAGGGTTCATATAGTAGTATGAAGGAACGTATCTAGCACTACTAACACTTTGTTGAGACTCCTGCACCAAACTTTCGGAGGGCACCGACAAATTCGTGTTGCACGTCTTGCCTGACTATCTGTTTATGGTGTTAGGATGGGCTCCTGTTTAAGGGCTATAATAGCGTTCCCTTTGAGGATTTAGGGTATAGGGTCTACTTGCAGGTTCATGGGATTTAGTAACTAGGGTTATGTTAAGGGTATTGGATGGCATTGGGGCGGGTTGCTGCACCTCTCAAGTCTCAAGGGACTGCACTGTGTACGCCCCCACAAGCCCGGGTTAGCTCAAAGGAAAACTCGTCTGCAAGGAGCCTTCTTTGCAACACGGATACTAGGTACTGCTCAACTGGAGTTTTGCAGTTGGAGTGTAGAAGCTCTGGCAACAGGCAGCTCCACTCAATCCCAAGCCCCCATAACATGGTATCTACCAACTGTCGGCTCCGCCCATGGCTTAGAGCTGAGGAGCCGGTAGGAACTCCACAGGCTTCTCTCTTCCGCTGTCTTTCAAGAAGGCACCGAGCTCGAAGGTGCACCAAAGCCTGGGACTGCTGGAAGTTTCGCATGTTTCGCTATAAGATGTCAACCTGTGCACACGTAGACGAAGCGGTTAGACACCATTGGCGCCACCAGCTCCCGAAGGAGCACATAGACTTCTGGAACCATCACCGACGACGACTGCTACTCCTGCTACTCCGATCACCACCACCTGCTACTACTACGACGATGACGACTACCACGACTTCACGACTACGCGACTACTACGACTACTACTACGACCACTACTACGACCACTACTACTACGACGACGACGACGACGAATACTACTACTACTACTACTACTACTACTACTACTACTACTAATAGTTGTAATAGTAATAGCAATAAGCAAAAAATGATAATCGTAACAACAATAATTTTACGACTACGACTACTGATACTTCTACTGATACTGATTACTGCTCCTGCTCCTGCTCCTGCTCCTTCCACGGCTACGGCTACAACAACGGCTACGGCTACGGCTACTGCTGCAAGTGCGACTCTTCCTCTCCACTTCTGTGTCCGCTGTCCGCCGTCACGGCTACTACAGCTAAAGACGTATGGGTTTACAGTCGGAAGCCAGGCCCTGCATCAGCTTTGTACAGCCATCAGCAAGCACCGGTAGGCGCAAATACTCGTTGGCTCTTCGAATGTAGGGGCCTTTAGAGGTAGAACAGGGTTTCGGAGCATATTGTAGTATGACTATAAGACGAAGAAGATGACAAATAAGAGGAATGAGAATACGCGGAAGAATAGCAGTGAATAGTAATACTGATCATAAGAAGGAACCCTGCAGAATGTTTTTACAGTCCCTCAGGACCCGGGCAGCCCCAAACTCTGAACCCCCTACACCGTAAAGAAGAGAATACAGCGACTCCCAGAAACGTGGAACTAGAGCCTAAAACCTAAAGCCTGAACCTTAAACCCGAAAGCCGAAAGCCCTAAACCCTAAACCCTAGAGCCTAAACCCTAAAGCCCTAAACCCTAAACCCAACACCCTAAAGCCTAAGCCCCAAGCCCTGCCCGGGGAGCCGTGTGAAGTAGTGCGGTGACCACAGAATCACCTGGGTTGGGTTTAGGGCTTAGGGTTTAGGGTTTAGGGTTTAGGGTGTGGTCACGTCATTGGTGCTCCTTGGTGTGTGCACACCCAAGCCGCTCGCACCTGTGCGTAGCAGACAGCCCACCCCAAGACCACC